GTTGCTCCTCCTCCTCCTCCTCCTCCTCCTCCTCCTCCTCCTCCTCCTCCTCCTCCTCCCCCCATGATTTGGACACTGCCCTGGAACCTTTTCTTATACTCATGCTATTTTCATAGTAGTGCTACGCTGTTACTCGTACTCTGCCACCTAGCCGGCCGATCGGGTCTCCATCCGGGTGGCTCCATTATACGTGTTAGCAGCAATACGGGGTGTACGTTTTTCTTACCATCGGGGATGGACAGAACCCTCCTTATAAAAACGTGGTTCAGTGAAAACGACCTCGGGCCCAAACCTGGCGGGCGCAAGCCTGGAAAATGACGGCCACGGCGCCCTCTCGAGAACCAAAAACGGACAATTCGCCAATCGACGTGTCAGTGTGGGGGTTCTGTCCACCCCCGAAACCAACATGGACGTTTAGGTATCGATGTTGCAAAGTGCGCGGCCGGGATGGGACGGGGCGCGCGCCGCACGCAAAAGGGTGAAGTGCCGCTCTCTCCGGGTGCCGCGCTCCCTTTACCTGGCAGTTGAGCTTCCGCTTGGGCGCGGCGCATACTTTTCGCTCGCCAGCTCGTCGGTGCGAAAGCGGATGGAAAACGTCGCTCTCGCCTCGGCGCCGCGCATTTTTCCGCGCGGTAGTGGCGCTCCAGCTCTGGCGCAGCGTGTATTTTTTTCCTCGCCAAGTCGTTCGGGTGGCGGGGCCGCGCGCGACCAGCCAACTTGTCGCCCTCGCCCAAGATTCCGCCCAACTCCTCCTCCTCCTCCTCCTCCTCCTCCTCCTCCATTCTGTCTCCTTATACATAGCTTCTCCCAGTTGCACCCCGAAGCCAGTTTTTAGGGCGGGCTAGGCGTTTCGCCTGAGACTTCCCCACCACTGATGACTGTGAAGCTTAACAGTTGGCAGCAGTTTCGCAGATAGACGGCGGGTCGTTTTCAAAATGTGGCTCTCGTCTTAGCGCCGCGCACACTCGTCTTCAACATTTGCAATGGTTTCACGGATTGAATGCGGGTGGTTTTCAACATGTGGCTCTCGCCTTAGCGCCGCGCGCATTCGTCTTGACAAATGGCGAGAGCTTCGCGGATTGAGGGTGAATGATTTTCAAAAAGTGGTTCCCCCCTTAGCGCCGCGCACATTCGTCTCAACAGTTTGCAAGAGTTTCACGGATGGAGGGCAGATCCTTTTCAAACTGTGGCTCTCCCCTTAGCGCCTCGCACACTCGTCTTTAAAATTTGCAAGAATGTCATGCACTGATGGCGAGTGGTTTTCAATCTGTGGCTCTCACCTTGGCGCCGCGCACACTCGTCTTAAACATCTGCAAGGGCTTCACGGATTGAGGGCGAGTGATTTTCAAAATGTGGCTCTCGCCTCAGCGCCGCACAAATTCGTTCTACAGATTGGCGATAGTTTCACGGATTGAGGGCGGCTCCTTTTCAAAATGTTGCTCTCCCCTCAGCGCCGCGCACATTCGTCTTAAGCATTTGCAGAAGTTTCACTGGTTCTAATGATCAGCGTGCCAGACGCTGCGTTTTGGAAGGGTTCGGGCGTATGAGGGTGCACAAGTTATGTTGGCTCTCGGTGTTCGAGTCCCAGGAATGGCGTTCTGGCACGATTCAGGATCGAGCCCCGAGGAAGGCTCCGGAGCGTCAGCGTCGTCGTCGCCGCTGCCGCCGCCGCCGCCGTCGCCGCCGTCCCCCCTCAGGGTCGGCGGCACCGGCCACTGGGCGGTCCCAACATCAAGCCGTGCCACCATCCTGGCTGCCCCAAGGCGCAACACGCGGCTCAGCACGTAGACCGAACGCGTCGGTCTGGCGCGATGCGCCCGCCGACGCGTGGGCCAACGCGTGCCCATCCAGCACGCAGCGTGTTATCACAGACGTTTAGCGCGCGGAGCGTGCTGCGTTTCAGCGCGGGCGCATCAGTGCAGCTGGTGCCACCATGGACTCTCCTGTCCTGAGAGGGAGGGGGGGGTGGGAGTGGGCGGGGCCCGCTGCCTCGCTCGATCTGGCTGCTTTGACTCTTCCTGCTCCTCCTGCTCCTCCTCCTCCTCCTCCTCCTCCTCCTCCTCCAGTCGGGAGGAGAAGGGGAATTTAGGGAGGAGGGAGGAAGTGGGGAGGCTCATCCTCCCTCTCCTCCTTCTAGTTTCTCATTCTTTCCCTCTTCCCCCTTTACCCCTCTTCCTCCTTCTCCTCTTCCCCCTCCTCTTAACTTCTCAATACTGCCCCCTTCCCCTTTCCCCCTCTTCGTCCTTCTCCTCGTCACCCTCCTTCTAACTTCTCATCCTTTCCCCTCTCCCCCTTTCCCCCCTCTTTCTCCTTCTCCTCTTCCCCCTCCTTCTAACTTCTCATTCTTTCCCCCTTCTCCCTTTCCTCCTCTTCCTCCTTCTACTCTTCCCCGCTCACCCAACGGCCAACCTTCAATCAGACTGGCCTGCCCAATCGCTGTCCGAGCCATCCGCCAGCAGCGCTGGTTGGGGCTCTGGTGCGGTCAGTGATGGGCGTCTGGCGGACGACGATGATGATGATGGTGATGCTGATGATGATTACGGTGATGATGCTGCTGCTGATGATGCTGATGATGATGAGGCTGATGCTGAAGATGATGGTGATGCTGATGCTGATGATGCTGATGCTGCTGCTGATGCTGGTGATGATGCTGCTGACGACGACGAGGATAACGGTGACGATGCTGACGGTGCTGCTGCTGCTGCTGATGATGATGATGATGCTGATGATGATGATGATGATGTTACTGCTGCTGCTGATGATGATGCTGATGCTGCTGATGATGATAGTGAGTATGGCGATGCATGATGGTGATGTGACGATGATGATGATGATGAGAAGGATGAGGAGGGTGAGGAGGAGAAGGATGAGGATGAGGATGAGGATGAGAAGGAGAGAAGACGCGGAGGATGAGGACCAGCAGCAGTAGCAACACACGGAGCCATGAGGATGCGGGTACGGATAGCAAGGAGGAGGGAAGAGGATCGGGTCCTGCTCCTCCTCCCTCCTCCCGCGCCTTCCTCCTCCTCCTCCTGTTCCTCCTGTTCCTCCTCTTCCACCTCCTCCTCCTGCTCCTCCTCCTCCTCCTCCTCCTCCCACGCCTTCTTCCTCCTCCCGCGCCTTCCTCCTCCTCCTCTTCGTCGTCGTCGTCCTCCTTCTCCTCACTTACTTCACTCGGAAGAGAATCCTCACATGTGCGGGTCATTCCCCGCGTCTTGTGTGCACCAAGCTTGTTTGCATCGTCTGTGATGTGAAAGTCGAGGCGACGAGAAGCCAGGCGCGGAACTTCTGGCCCGACAGATGCCTGGCCCCCCCGCAGTGCTAAGGCAGCAGGACGGCCGTGACGGAATCGTAGCCCACCATGTTGTTATGAAGGCCCATTCGTCGCATGTTTCTAAAGGGGCCCAGGGGCACACACAAACAAAAGGGCACATATCCCAACATCCCATATTTTCCAATCTTTTCTGGGTGTCCGTCTTCTCCCCCACTTACCAGATGTACCCAAATTTATCTGGGAGTCGACGATTAATTGTGTCTGTGTTTTTTCCCCGTCCTGAGTTTTGTCTGCCTTCAAAGGAATCTGCTTTTGCCAGACCTGCGGGCGTTAAGCTGTCAAGACGGCCCAGCAGAATGGTGAAGCGTGCCCAGTGATGGTGGCACGGCTCGAATGCCTCACCAATGCTGGGGTCAGTGTTAAGTCGGGCCTGCCCCCCTACAGGGGGATTTTGGACGAAATATACAAACTACTCAAACATACTCCAATGATGCCCCAAAATACTAAAACAAGTCCCCAGACCATTTTTACTATTTTTGAATATTCCCCCTGTAGAGGGACAGGCCCGACTTAAGGTCAGTGTGCAGTCTCGTTTGCCCCGAGGCTTGCACCCAAAGTGCAGTATGGCGTTCCCCCTTGTGTGAGTTTGGCCCTCGAGTCCTGGCCTGATCAGGAGTGCTCATCTGGACCAGACCAGACCAGGTCCTCCTCCTCCTCCTCCTCCTCTTTCTCCTCCTTTTTTCTCCTCCTCCTCCTCCTCCTCCTCCTCCGCCTCCCCCTCCTCCTCCTTTTCCTCCTCCTCCTCCTTCTCCTCCTCCTCCTCCGCAATTACTCAATATGAATACTACTCTCCCTCTTCCCCCGATGGCGGCCTGAAAGTAGCCGACCCCCCCCCGCGTCCTGCTTTTTTGCACACAGGATTCCCGGGAGTTGGGTTTTCGCCTGCATTTTTTTGTCAAAATACTGCTCTCGCCGAGGCGCCGGCCTCATTTTCGGGCCCCGCTCGTTCCGAATCGTGCTCCCGCTGCAGCGCTGGCCTCATTTCCGTGCTTCCGCTCGTTCCGAATCGTGCTCCCGCTGCAGCGCTGGCCTCATTTCCGCGCTTCCGCCTCGACTCGTGCTCGAGCGCTGGCGTCATTTCCCGTGCCATCACCGCACACACCACCACCACCACCCACCACCAGCACCAGCACAGCACCAGCACCAGCACCAGCACCAGCACCAGCACCAGCACCAGCACCAGCACCAGCACCAGCACCAGCACCAGCACCAGCACCAGCACCAGCAGCAGCAGCAGCAGCAGCAGCAGCAGCAGCAGCAGCAGCAGCAGCAGCAGCAGCAGCAGCAGCACCAGCACCACCAGCACCACCAGCACCACCAGCACCACCACCAGCACCACCACCACCACCACAACCACGCACACACGCACGCACGCACGCACGCGCACCACCACCCACTAGTCCGCGGATAGAGAAAATCAGCGCCATGGTAAGGGATGGGAGGGAGGGGTAGGACGTCAGATATGACGCGCGCGCACCTAGCTTGTCCTCCTCCCCCTCTCCCTCTCCCTCCCCCTCCCCCTCCCCCTCCTCCTCTTTTTCCTCCTCCTCCTCCTCCTCCTCCTCCTCCTCCTCCTCCTCCTCCTCCTCCGGGAGCCAGAAGGGGGAGGAGGAGCAGGAGGAGCACCGGGGCGCACCAGCCCTCGCCCGCCGCCGCCCCCCCTCACCCCCGCGCGGGCGCCCCGTGCGAGGGCGCCCAGCCCCCCGCCGCCGCCGCCCAGCTGCGGCTTGGGCGGCCGCTGCTCAGGCTCGGACAGCCCGAGCGCCGCCGCGGCCTCCGGCACGCCTCGCGCGTCCCCGCTACGGCGACTGCGGCGGCGACGCCGCCAGCAAGTCCGCCGGCCACGGCGACGGGCCGCCTCCGCCGTCCAGCTGCAGCGGCGACGCCGCCAGCCTCTCCGCCTGTGCCCGCGGCGACGGGCCGCCGCCGCCGCCGCCGTGCAGCTGCGGCGCTGGCACGGGCTCTTCCGCCGGCCGCTCCGCCGGCCACTCTGACTGGTGCCCGCCGCCGCCGCGGGGCGGCCCCAGAGTGAACTCGTCGGGCGACGAGGCGTCCTCCGCTGGCGGCGGCGGCGGCGTCCTCTTAGAGGCCGCGCTGTGGCGGCGGGAGTTGCGCCGCTCGGCTGCGCCCCGCGACGAGGCACGCGAGGACCTCTGGCTGTTGCGCCGGGTGGCCTGGACCTGCACCTCAGCGGAGGTCTGGGCCTCAGCCTTGGCGGCCCGGACCACGCGGACGCGCAGGAACGCCGTGATGCCCTTTCCCGCGTCCTCGAGCAGCAGCTCGCCATCGAAGCCCTCGTGGAAGAACTTGTGCGCCGGGAGGGCGACGTGGCCCAGGGGGTCGTCGCTCGAGACTCGGTCCCAGTCCTTGACCAGGAACCTGAGGTCCTCCTGGCCGCTGAGGTCCGCCACCCGCGCCGTGAAGTTCCACTCCGGGCTGGTGCTCTTCTTGATCACGGGCGTCTGGAACTTGGCGTCGGGCCGGCCCGTCACCTCGCAGACGACGTACGGGTCGGACGACGAGCCGAACACCGAGAAGTCCGCGGCGCGCAGCCCCCGCGCGGACACCACCGTGACCTCGAAGCAGGCGGGCCCCGCCGGCCCCGCGGCCCCGCGGGCGCCCGCGCAGAGGCCGCCGAGGCCCCCCCCCGGGGGCCCGCCCGCGCCGGCGGGCCCGCCCAGCAGGCGGGCACCCCCGCGCCTGGGCCCGTCCGCGCCGACGAGCCCGTCCTCGCCCGGAGGGCTCCACAAAGGGGTTTTTGGGGGGAGTTTTTTTTTCCAGGAGGGGTCCCCCAGGGGCTTCGCACTCTCTGTTTGGCCGAGGCTCCGAGGCCCCTGGGGTGAAGTCGTGTCCCCCTACATGGGGATTTTGGGCGAAAAATAAACAGTACTCAAACAATACCCCCCAAATGCTCCAAAATAGTCAAACATCGTCCCAAGACTTTTTTGGGACTCTTTTTGAATATCCCCTCTGTGGAGGGACACGCCCGACTTCACCCTGGGGGGCTCTCTGGAAAACCCCCTCCTCCCAAAACCGCCTTTGGAACCCTCCGGCTCTCGGAGGGCACCAGCTGCACACACCCGCCACCGTCGGCTACACGCAAGAGTGACCCTGGGTAAGGGAGACCTTTGGTGCGCGGCTTTTTGGGGGGCCGCGGGGGGACCAAACTCAGGCGCGCAAGACGCTACTATCGCATCGTAATCGGTGATCGGGGGACCCCATTGTGCCCGCACCAAAGGTCACTCCTGCGAAATGTCACTCTTACGTGAAGTCGACACTGGCCCTGGCCAGGCCGCTCCCGGCGCTCCGATTGTCGCGGCCGGGGGCACCGGCGGCGACGCGCTGTGCCGCGCAGGCGGGCGGGCAGCGTGTCGCTCCGCTGCGTGGGGCAGCGGGGTGGACAAAAGCTCGGGCCGCTGCAGTGTGGGCAGCACAAGACGTGCAAGGCACGTCGCGCCACAATGTTAATAATGCTAATAGTAATAGCAAGACTAATGCTACTAATACTAAGAGTAATAAGAAGAATAACATGATAAGACAACTACTGCTACAACTAATACTAATAAGAATACTAATACTAGTCGTTATAATACGAATGACAATAATAAACGTAGCGCTAATAATACTAATAGTAGTAGTGGTAACCATAATAGTATTACACATAATCATAATAAGAAGACGAATGATACGAGTAATAATAATACTAATACGAATAAGAATACTAATCATGCTAATAATGAACAGCGCCATGCATGTAAACTTTTGGCGCTCCGCGCGGATGTCTTGGATCCGCGCTGGGCCGCCCCGGCGGCGCCAAACGTTTGTGCTTATGGTGTTTTTTCTTCTTCGAGCCACAGCGTGGTGGGCCAGCATCGGCGCCGCGACACGCTGAGCCAGAGTTCCTGAACGCATGCCTTCCTGCCCAAGAGGAACGATTTTTTCCACAACGTCAACCCCCAAAGGTCTGGACCCTTTCCCTGGGACCGGTTTTTCATCCTGCGTCATTTTTTGACGGTCCCGAGGGCCGGGAAGCGCCCCCAGAAGCCGAAAATGGCGAAACAATTACGACAAAAAACCCGAGGAGCGAAACAATGGCGAGAAAATGGGGAGAACATGTAAAAACATGGCGAAAAATAATTCGTCACAGCGCGAGGAGGCCTGGGCAGGACGAGCCCGGCCAGGATCGAGGCAGGTGTGCAGTCCGCGCCCTCCTCTCCTCGGCGGCACCCCCGAGCGGCCCCGGCGCGGCGCCCAGGAGGTCGGAGGCGTCCTGGCGGCGCAGCAGCGGCCCGCCGCCGTGGCCGTGGCCCCCCTCCGCCAGGGCCGCCGGCGGCCCCTCGCCGCCGCGGCTCTCCGCCTGCTGCTCTCTGCCAGCGCCGCCCCTGGTCGCCTGTCGGCGCCGCCCCTCCCCCCCACTGCCCCTCGGCGTCCGCAGCGCCGCTGCCCCTCCCCCCCCCCCGCAACCCACCCTCCTCCCATGCGCCCCTGCGCTTTCGCCCGGCCGTCCTCGCCCCCTCGCCCCCCTCGCCCCCTCCCCCCCTCAGCTCCCTCATCACCGCTCACCCCCGCTCCCCCTCCCCGCGGGAGAGAGCGCGACAGCGTCCAAGCCTCCTGGGCTCGAGTCCGCGCCAGCGAATTTCTGCCCTCGCGTTCGTTGGGGGGGGGTAGCGGGGGGGGGCAGCGGAGGGGCGCCAGCTGGACCAGCGCGATCCAAACTTTTCACAGGTCCACTCTGGCCCCAGACCTTGGTGGTGACGGCCCCGTGCCCCGCCCCCGCCCCATCCCATCCCCGTACCCCATCCTCCCACCCCCGTACCCATCCTCCCATCCTGCCGCCTCGTGCCCATCCTCCTCCCGTCCCCGTACCCCTCCCGCCCACGCCCCCTCCGCGCATCCCCGTGACCCGCGGCAGTTACGACGACTGCGGGAGGCACAGCAGGCCGCCTCCTCCTGCTTCTCCTGCTCCTCCTGCTCCTGCTCCTGCTCCTGCTCCTGCTCCTCCTCCTCCTCCTCCTCACCGTGACCGCCCCCTGTCAACGCCCGCGGAACCCCGCTCGGCTGCACCTCGAGGTGAGCCTTCTCCTCGGCGCCTGTGGCGTCGAGCTCGCCCGCGTCGAGCTCCACCTGCACTTCTGCCAAGGAGAGGGGAAGCAGGGAGGAGGAGGAGGGAGAGGAGGAGGAGGAGGAGGAGGAGGAGGGAGGAGGAGGAGGAGGAGGAGGAGGAGGAGAGGAGGAGGAGGAGGAGGAGGAGGAGGAGGCGGAGGCAGGAGGAGGAGGGAGGAGGAGGAGGAGGAGGAGGAGGAGGAGGAGGGGAGAGCGGACCTCAGTCGCCCTGCCCTGTTAGGCGTGCTGCTTCTCTCCCCCCGGGGCCCTGCAGCTCGTCTTCCCTGGAGAGCCCATGACTGCTCCACCGTGTGATCTCAGGGCGCCTCAGGGGGTGGGGAGCTTGAGGGAGAGACGGGAGCGGGATGGAGGAGGAAGGGGACGGAGGAGGGGGGGAAGGCGGATCCTCTTCTTCTTCTTCTTCTTCCTCCTCCTCCTCCTCCTCCTCCTCCTCTGTCTCCTCCGCTTCCTCCTCCTCCTCCTTCTCATCCTCCTGCTCCTTCTCCTTCCCCTCCTCCTGGGCCGCCTCAATGCGGACATGGAGGAAAGCGGTCACGCCCTGACCTGCGCTCTCGAGCTGCAACTCCCCGTCGAAGCCATGGGGCAGGAACCGCGAGGCGGGCAGCGTGACCTTGCCAAGGAGGAGGGAAGACGAGGAGGAGAAGGACGAGACGGAGGAGGATGAGGATGAGGACGAGGAGGAGGAAGAGGAGGCGGAGGAGGAGGAGGAGGAGGAGGAGGTGGAGGAGGAGAAGAAGGAGGAGGAGCAGGAGGAGGAGGAGAAGGAGGAGGAGGAGGCGGAGGCGGAGACTGAGGAGAGGTAGGAAGATGTGGAGGATGAGAAGGAGGACGAGGAGGAGGGAGGAGGACGAGGAGAAGGAGGAGGAGGAGGAGGCGGAGGCGGAGGAGGAGGAGGAGGAGGAGGAGGAGGGGAAAAAGGAGGAGAAGGAGGAGGAGGAGGAGGAGGAGGAGGAGAAGGAGGAGGAGGAGGAGGAGCAGCAGCAGCAGGAGGAGGAGGAGGAGGAGGATGAGAGGAGGATGCGGAGGAGGAGCAGCGAACACATGAAGCGACTCGCCGAATCAGAAGTCAAGGCGGATGGGAGCACCAACAAAAAGGTAATATCGCACAATCGCTCACAGAACACTGAGGACACAAACGGGCCCACACACAGTACGGCACGATACCCGAGCACATCATCACCTCCGGCCAGAGTCGGGGCCAGAGCAATGACATCCAGGGCAGAGCTACCTGCCTTGGTGGAGGACGAAGATAGGACATGGCCCGATCAAACACCCGAGCCTCACCGCAATGAAGAAACTCAGCGAGTTAACTGTATAATCAAGTATGACGGCCCAACCACTGCGCCGCTGGGTCCTTGACCAGAAGACGGCGGGGCAACGGACTGGGGTGCTTCCGTCCTTATTCCATGCGGCAGCCAGAAGCGAAGTTGTCTCGGCGCCATCTGCGCTGAGGATTGTCTTTCGACACGGACGGGTCGCACAAAAAACAAAGCAAATATCGGGCCGCTCGCCCGGCAAACCAACAACACCGCATTTCGTGCAACTTGTGATCTCACCCACTCCTCACAAGATGCGGCCCCTGGCGGCCACGGGAGGAACGATACCTTCGGAAGGGGGCGCCGTGCCGGGAGGGACCGCCGCAGCCCGACCAGGGGCCGCCACCCGAGGGCGCTTCTCCGAGCCAGCGCCGACAAGCCCGATGGCCGCGGCAAGCTCAGGGACGACCCCCTTGGGGTCGGGCTTTGAACCTGACCCGAAGCTGCACCCGCCTGGTAGACGGCCCCGCCAATTCCTCCAGGGGCCTGGCCAGATGCCTGGCCAGAGGAGGAGAAGGAGGGAGGGAGGGAGGGAGGAAGGGCGGAAAGGGAGGGCGGGAAAGAGGAAGAGGAGGAGGAGGAGGAGGAAGAGGAGGAGGAGGAGGAGGGGGAAGAGGAGGAGGAGGAGGAGGAGGAGGAGGACAAGAACAAGGGCATCCGCATACGGGGGTGCAACGTCAAAACAGCTACGCTGGTGTCTTGCGCGCTTCTGCTAAGATCCCCTGCGATCGATTTTGCAACAGCCCTGCCTTCTCGCCAAGGCCGGCAGGGGGCATGCCAACTTGTTCAAGGACTGAACTCCGAGGTGGCCCCGGCAGACAGGATCGCTACCTTACGTTCACGAGTCCCTGCGGGTCAATGCGAGGGGAGCGGCTGCCGGCCCTTCCGCGTGCCCTAGGGGAGGGGAAGCGCGGGCTTAGCAGCGCGACCAAGCCAGGGGGGAGGATGCGACGAAACGACCGCTCAAAAGGAGGTGAGGGGGAGGGTCGGTCGGCCTGTGTCCCCAAACTGTTGCTGGGGGGCTGCTTATTCTACTGTTTTAATTCTATACTCCCCTCTCCCGCTCGGCTTAATTCTCGGTCTTGCCGAGAGTTGCCCCATGCATTGTCGCATCAGTACTCTGATACCCTGTTGTAGTATCCCACCGATCCTCTTCGAAGTGTATGTGGGGTAGAGCATACTGGTAGTCACGGTATAGTAGGTGGGGCCATCGAGGAAGCACTCTGGTGGACTTCGTGATGGTCACTTTTTTCTCATTCGACACCTTGCAGTAATGTACCCGTCGGCACGTCACACAAGTCTTCCCATTACGATGACAGTGCGATCACTCCGTGATGTCCATCCTGTATGCCCCGAGAAGCACCCCGATAACACCATGCCAATTCATCTCTTGGCTGCCTGTGGGCTCGTCCAGCTTGCCCAGAGTATCACTCCGACAAAACCTCGCTAATGCTTCTCGTGACACTCCAGTAGGCTCCAGTGGGTGCACTCACTGGTGGCCGCTGGAGGAGCTGGCCGTAGTCGTCTCCTCCGGCTTGGGGTAGCCGAGCGTTGCCTCGAAGATCTCGGTGTCATCCAGCAGGGTCTGCGTGCTTTCTCGTCGCATCTGGCGCTCCTTGGGCCTCTTCACTTCCTGAGGGCCGAGATTGACCTCGTTGCTCAGCTCCTTCAAGGCGACGTTCATGGCTGCGTGGGGGTTCTCTTCGTCCTTCTTTGGTATCTTCAGCGCCAGCTCGCACGAGCTCTGTACATTGAAGGCCTTCCTCCCTGCCCTGTCCCATGCGTCCACAGGGTGCCTTGCGATGAGATCGCAGCCTCTGGCCATGTGTGTCATCGGGAAGGACGCGGGGATCAGCTCGAAAAGCTCTTCTGGGCTCATCTTCTGGGCGGCGTCGAAGAACGTGTAGTGGCACTCCTTGATGGCGTCGTCTAGCTGCTGCGGCACTCTCTCTGCTACGAGCGCTTCCCAATTATTTCCCACCTTGAGCTCCACCACCATCGACGGCCCCCACTCTTGTACGGGAGGAACTTCGAACCGCGCCCGACCTGTGGCCGCCCCTCGCAGTCGTCGCCGAACGTTTCCTTCATCTTGTCCACCCACTCTTTCACAAACACATCTTCTGGGTGACTCTCCTGCCTTGACGAGCTGTAACCAATCCACCTTGCGCCAGAACTGCCACTGCGCCACAACTTGTTTGGGAAGGCGAGCCCGCGCGTGCAGGCTCCGCCCCTCTTTTCGTCCCATCCTGTGCCCCTCCTGCATACGTTGAACAGCTGCATATTGTCGCTCTTCTTGCCCAAGGAGGAGGTGGGAGAGGAGGAGGAGGTGGAGGTGGAGGAGGAGGAGGAGGAGGAGGAGGAGGAGGAGGAAGAGGGGGGGGGGCGGAGGATCCCCAGAGGAGGAGGAGGAGGAGGAGGAGGAGGAGGAGGAGGAAGAGGAGGAGGAGGAGGCAGACGAGGGCCCCACCCTGTGACGGTCCGACCCTGCCTGGTCGAGGTCCTGGGGGTCCCGGCCCAGGGGTCTTTCGGCCCCATCCTCGAGCTGCGCGAGCGTCGGCTGAGGCTCGTGTGGCGCACAAGGGCCTGGCGGAGCCTGGGGTGTCACATTCTGGCAGGGGCCAAGCAAGCCTCTCTGATCATCAAATCGCGACCTCTGGCAGACCTCGCGAAGCGAGGACAATTTAGAATATTTCCGTCTACAGGGCGCGCCCGCCGCAACATGGTATAGCCGGCGTCCCGCGAACGGCCGCAGTGGCGCCCTCCTCGCGGCTGCCTTCTCCGTAAGCGGCCCGCAATCGTGCGCAACGTCGTGGGCGCTGTCCTCTGCGAGCTTTCCGTTCCGCAGCGCGCGCTCGAGCGGGTCGACCCTCGAGCAGCTACTCTGTGTGTGTGTGGCCAATCCAGCACGCGATGTGCATCATGATCTCGAGCAGGGGCTTGCGTTGGCGCTTGTCAGCAGGAGGGGTGTCATGGCTGGCCATCTTGTGGTCGCTACGTCTGCGTAATCAGCGCCCTTCTTGTCTTTGCGGTGGAGGGTGTCCTCCTTGGTCTGGTGGAACTTCGCGAGGGATATCCCGAGGTCGTCGCTCTAGCGTCCGTGAACCTCCAGCACCCTCCAAAGCTCGCGCCAGAGGTCCAACTTGGGACGGCGCGGACGCGGGGGCCGCTGCTGGCCAGGCTGTATGCCATCTATCGTCATCGCGCAGTCGGTGTGGAGACGGATCGGCAGGATGCCGTGCTTCAAGGTCATGGTGACGGCGTAACTTTCAGCTCTGGGACCGGTCTGCTGGCGAGCTGGCATCGGCCCGAAGGCCAGGCCTCTCAGCCTCTGACCTAGCGCGAAAGCTAAACCCCCATGCTGCTCGAGCTCCTTCGGGTCATCCACTGTGAGTGCGGCGAGCCCCGCCGGTGTAGACTTCCACAGGCGATGATGGAGCGTGCCCTTGGCTGGGCCCCGGTTGCCGCGAGCTTGACGGGCTCGAAAGCTGTCTGTACCAGCAAGATCAGCGTGTGCGTCATTGACTGTCAAGATTGGGATCCTCAGCCTGGCTCCAGTAGCCGTCGAAGCAGAGGTCGCTGTCCTTGTCGATCCAGTAGTCTACCTCCGCGTCGTCCAGGGTGGTGCGACGTCGTCTCGATGAGGGGGGCTGCTTAGGCAAATGAGCCATGTGGTCGCCGTCGACGGAGACCCACTGAGAGCCCTCGCAGATGGCCAGAGACTGGGGGCCCATGGCCCCCGCGCCAGGTGGGCTCGTCCTGGTCCTGGACGTTCGGATCGCCTGGCTGGGGGTGGCGACGAGACGGTGCGACGCGAGGCCTGGACTGCCATGCCCCGCCCAAGCCTGATTGGCCAGCTGGTGGAACATCTGCAGACAGGGAGTGGCGAGCATCGTGACCAACTGCGGGGGATTCCAACGATGCTGCAGATATCGTCGTCGGCCCGTCGGCGTTCGGATTGATCCATGATGGTGTCGAGGCTGAAGTGGTCCATGCCTTCGTCCCTGATCCGAGCTTGGCCGGCAATGGGATGCATCGGCGTGCCCGCGCTTGAAGGCGCGCCTGCGACCACTGGCCTCCGGCGACTGCGTTGCGAAGGGGAGCCCGTGCACGGGCCGACAGGCGCCATTGAAGTGCTTGCTCACGAGGTGCCATCAGAAGTTGGAGGGGGGCCATCCAGTGGCCGCATGCCTCGCGCGTCGCCGCTGGCTCCTACGGAGCGTGGTCCTTCCGCTGGGCCCACTCCTCGCGCTCCTCCCACTTCGCATGGGTGAATCCTCGACGGACCTGAATGCGA